CAAATGCTTTTCCAGGCAAAAATCCTGACTGTGTGCTTTTAAAGGGGGAGTTTTGCAGGAAATCTTCAATTCATAAAGAAAAACCTCCCCTGAACAGTCACCATGATTTAAACATTATTTTACCTTAATTTTTCCTTTCCCCTCTTCAACTATAATCCGGGTGTTGGTCTACACAGAATTATTTTTGCAAAAATGGTCCTCCAGTGAGCAACAGTCAGGCTAGAAAGGAAGCTCAGAGACTCACATGGATCTGCCCCAAGCCATGCGGCCTGAGCACAAGGATCCAAGGGGCAGTGAAGTGCAGTGACATCCCTCTGGGGCTGGCTGCTCAAAGAAGAATGTTCTCAGAGTTCCAGGTGCACCTTTTAGATCCTGAGCTCCCTAAGAACCAATCAAGCAACCAGTGTGATCATCCAGAAAGGCACTGTATGACCACAGGCAGTCACATTTCCAGGCCCTTCTACTGCACTGCTTAGAGAGACTTCAGTGACAAACTACACTTCCTAGTCCCTACTCAATTAGGGAGCAAGAACTATTCTGAGGCTAAAGCACATTAAAGCCAAAGAAAAAGGCCCACACCAGAAGGGCTAAGAATGTTCTGCAATCAGTAGCAACTTTTACGTAAAAAAAAAATTTTTTCTTTTATTTATTTATTTATTTTTTCCTGGTACCGGGGATCAAACTGAAGACCTTGCGCTTGTGAGGCAGGTGCAACGGCACTTAGCTAAATCCCCTGCCCACCTTTTAGGTAAAATTAAGACTGTCTTAAAGTTATCCGGCCACTTACATTAGCATAAAAATCCAAGTTATTTTTTTAAATCCAGGTTTTTAGTTATTTTAAAAATAATATGGAAGGAGAATCATGTACAGGTATTCAAACTTCATGATAATCTGATAGACCTATCTGGAAAAAAAAATCATGATCTGAACCTATTTAGAAACTAGAAAATGGGCTGGGGATCTAGCTCAGCACCTGCCTTACAAGCACAAGGGCGTGAGTTTGATCCTCAGTACAAAAAAAAAAAAAATTTTTTTTTTCCACTTTTTTTTTTTTTTTTTGAGACAGAGTTTCACTATGTTCTCCAGGCTGGCCTTAAAGTCACAGCAGTCTTTCTGCCTCGGCTTCCTAAATGCTCGGATTACAGTCATCTGCCACCATGCCCAGCTGCAATTTCACTCTATTCTAAACACTGGCCAAAAGTTTCAGATTTGTCTATAGATGGAATCATTCAAAACCACTTTTCCTCATAGTTTAAGTGCAGATTATTATACTGGATTTAAGTCTAGAAGATTCTATAATGTGACAGTATATTTTGTGGTAGTGCCAAGAAATCCTTTGGTTCATCTTACTGATTTAGCTTAGTGGTTCCGCTGCCTGCCTCACAAGTGCAAGGTCCTGAGTTCGATTCCTAGTACCAAAATAAAATAAAATATAACAAAGAAAAACCCAAAATAGGTATTTCTAGTCTTGGTAATTAGCAAAGTTATCAAAAATTGGACCAATGTCTGGCACACACTGACCTCTGTCAAGGGATTTTTGGAAACTTGCCCCAGAATTCAAGCAAGTTTTGTACTCTGATCTTCAGAGAGAACAGTATCTATGAGAAAGAAGTACATGTTTTTGTTTGATAGAATGGAAACAATCCTTTTTATTCTAAACTCTAGTATAAGGAAGACTGCCGACAGACTTCAGAGTAAATTTTAAGAGTAACATTTCAACCAGAAACTGAAAATATCCTTCTTTTCTGGTATTTTCATGACAGGGGAGGGGCGCTGACTGACTTATGGCTGGTACTAGAGAACATGTACCCTTAAGTTTCATTCCACTAACTCTATAATAAAGTCCTTCTCACATGGGCCTCTAGAACAACATTATACATTTGTGCAACCTTTGTTATTTACTCATGTCGAGCCTAGTCCTATGCTGAACCCAGGAAATACAAAGATGAATGAGGGAAGAGTTCCAGCCCTTGAAAAATGCATGGTCACGCAGGGAGGTAGGTATGAAAAATACCAAGGCAGTCCAGATCAATGTGAAGAAATAAGGAATGCCATTATTTAAAATGTTACTTGAATGTAATTTAGAAATATAAACTTATTCACAGATAAGTGGCATTTACATTTGTCTGTGTGTGGAACAGCAGTAATTGGTTCCTTGCTCGGTTTGAAAGTCAGCAATGGATTCGCACTGTGAAGGAGCACACTAGACCTTTGGCTAAGTGTTCTTGCCTGCCCAGTTACTGTTTTTAAAAGGTGTGTCCTGGAATAAAAAGCAATCAATGAATTTATAGGAAAGACATACTCATGGACTGGGTTGCATTTGTTTAGAAATCCAAAAGTGCTGTATTTAACAGGTCACAGGAACTTTACCAGATCAAAGTACACTGGCTTCACAGCAAGTGCTATTTTTTAAGCTCATCAGTCCATTCTAAACACTATTTACTGTAGCATCTAGAATAATTCTAGTGTGAACAGAGACAAGTCACTGCGCTCTTTATTAAAACCAGAACCCTTAAAATCAGAGAAATGCTTAAAAACCCCAAGCAATTTTAAAATAGTTCAATTCTTATATTTCTCAGATTCCTGTGAGACTATCAAAATTTTTAAAAATACATACAACTTTTGGCTTTCATCTACTCCTCTCATATGTCCAACTTCCCAAAGGCTTCTTACAAATTGTCTTAAAAAATTTTCCAGAACTTAACCTGCACATATATTAATCCTTTCTTCCTTTTTCCAATGCTGATTGATGCAAAACAAACTTCAAAGAAATGAACTGGCAAAATCAGGACCTCTGTGGGACAGGGTCAAGGAAACACAATCAATAACCATGGCAGGCTGGGGAGGAAGGGCAAGGCCAGAGGTGCTAAACCTTGGCACTGTGTTCCCATATTTAGCTGCAAGGCCTAGTAGCATAGACAGTATGGGTCTGTTCTGCAGTGTGGTTCCTGGCAGTGACCAAGCCTGGCACAGCTCGAGTGCTTGAGAAAGTGGCTGCAGAAGCCTGAATGTCTGTGGGGAGCCCAGGATGACAGGTGCTTGAAACAGGGTAGCAGCTATTGCTGGTGCTGTCTCAGTCTCATTAGCCTAGGAACAGGTGACAATTTCAGTCACAACTGTGTGATAAGAACAGATCTTCAGTATATATCCCACTGATATTACTGGTGTGTACTATGCACCAGCAGAATTAGGGATTTTAAAAACCCTAAAGAGCATACAGCTCATTGAGAGGGAAAAATGTTGCGCCAACGATTTCAACACTATTCTTTTGTCAAATATTTATCCAGTTTCACCTCTGTAGTTACCAAAGCTAGCAGAGAACAGAACATGAAAATCAGTGTTTGCACGGTGGTGGCAGTCTAGTAAACACATGCAGCTCTATAGCCGATGACATTTCCCGAACACCCATGACATGCCAGACTCCACTTTAAGGGCCTTCCTGTCTTAGCACATTTAATCCTCACAGCAAACACATGAGGTAGGTACTGTCATCATCTTTACTGACAGACGAAAAAAGTGAAGCATAAGGTCAGATGGAAGAACACAACAATAATCAAGTACAAACAAAAATCTAGGCTAACAAAAAGGATGGAGTGGTTAGCTAAAAATTCTTCTCAAAGGGCCCAAGAGTTAGACTGAGACTCTTAACAGGAGCAGTTTAAACATATCCATGTTGAAAGTTTGTTTGCACACTTAAATGTCTGTCAGATACAGCTGATTAATGTTATCTCAGGCTGTTCAAAGTATAAGATAAAGCTCAGGCTCTCAGAAAATACACTGAAAACTTAGGCTCTCAGAAAAGACACTGTTTGATCAATTAAAATTATCTCCCTGCCCAGTGGTGGGAATCAAACCCAGGGTCTGGTACATGTTAGGAAATGCTCTACCATGGAACCACAGCTCCCGGGCCAAAAATCAGTCATACACATATAAATCACAGCACCTAGGTAGAAGGTTTTATGATTGTGACCTTCTTGATCTGCCACTTGAGTTTTTGTGGCCAGAAATGGATTATTTTACGTATTATCTTGAGTCTTGGGCACCCGTATCTGGCAGGCATATGAAGTTGACAGGGTTATCATCCTCTTGATGCACGTGGACAGCTCTGCACTCAGGATGGCTGGTAGAGCTGAGGGTGTCGCTCAGCAATGCCTCAGTTATTATGCACAAAGCCCTAAGTTTGACCCACAGTACCACAAAAAAAATAAAAGAAGAAACTTAGGACAGCTGGCATTTGGGCTTCACATGTGTTCCCACCCCCATCCTCACCCCGCAAGACTGTTCTACACAGTGTGCCGATTCAGAGGATCTTTTCCATATTTATGACAGGTTATTAACACTTCTATACCTTTCCAGGATTCAGTTGTACCTTGAAAGGGATCAGCTGCTTGCAGCAAAAATGAGACTTAAAAAATGGTTTTAAGAACTGGAATTGAACATTTTTGTTATTTTTTTTGTTGCATTTGTAGTCTCAGATTACCACATATTAAAAGTCATTTCTATAATGTGAAAATTAAAAGAAAACCATTAAGACTTTATCTTTGAAAGATTAATTTACACAACACAGGTAGACAATGACAAATTTTAGCTTAGTTCCAATATATCCAATTGAAATGGAATCTATCCATTTCTACTTTCTTTTGGTTAAATGCTATAAAAACGTAACCCTCCCATACAAAAAAGTAAACACTCCAGAAGTTAGAGTACAAATGAGAAGTCTGAGTCTGCCTTCCAGATAGGTGTACAGCTAGTCATTTAGAATTTTAGTAAAGTAAATGGTACTATTTAGGGACTTCCTAACCCCAGAAGCATCATATAAATATAAACAATTCAAGAAACAAACTACTTGATCTCCCTGTTCTCTCTAAACCTCACACGGCTCTGGCAGGCCATACGGGATCCTACAGATCTCTGCGGGCACTCATCTATTTTGTGCCCTAGTTTGGGAACACATGCTGGCAATATTTTTCAACATTTTCCCTCACTTATATGCGCCTCACCTTCATCCGCAAGGGTCTGAGGAGGCTGCTACAACCAGAACTCAGTCACTAAAGTGAGGATAAACCAGAAAGACTCAAGGTCAGGCAAACACAAATATGCAGAAATAGAAAATAAGACCTTAGTAAATAGGTCTGAGGGGTCAAAGAGCTGTAATCACCCTGTCCATATCCACGAGTTTGAAATTTTGGGTGTTCTGGACAATGTCTGTATTCTATACTTTATAGTTATATATGTTTTACTATTGTAAAGACACATACATCTACTATGGGCTACAAGAAGTCTTTTTAAGATCTACTTTGCTGGTTGGAGTTCAGGGAAAGGTATGCTCTCACACAATGCAGATTTGGTAAAATTTGGTGTGTATTTTCTGGAAGGCATTTTGCAATGTGAAGCAAATATACTTTAAAATGCACCCACCCTTTGACCTACAGCGCCCTTCTGGGGATTTAGATTTTGGTAAACATCATGGACTTGGGCAAAGCTTTACCTGCAGTGATGCCCACTGCAGTGCTTTAGCAGCAAAGACCTGGCACCAAGCTATATCCAAGAAGAGGGGCTGGATCAATAACTTACAATGAAAAATGTAGTACTGTGGAGTCATCAAGATGATGAAGCCCTGACACTGAGATATGAGCTGAAAACAATGGAAAAGATGATGGTGAGTCAGTGTTATCTCTGGGCTGTGTGTTTCTGGGTAGCTCATTTTTGTTATAAATTTTCATAGAAATTTTGGAAATATTCTAATATGATAAAAATAGTTTTTAAAAGCTTCCAAGACTAAACATAATACATACACACACAAAAAAATATAAAATATATGAATGACTGTGGAAGATGCAGAAAAGTGTAATTCTGGAGACTTGTTCTCCAGCATGTACATTTATATTGTACCTGTTAAGGCTCAAAAGTACTTCTTTTAGGAAGTACTAGTCCTGTAATCTTGATTGATCTGTAGCTCAATGAAATTGTTATTATTATTACTTAATAGGAAGAATTTATTGAAAGATAGCTCCTGTCTAAGACAGAAGGGGGAAAAGAAAGTGGGTTGCCCACTCACATTGCTTCTCAAAGGTGTTTTATGGGGCAAAGCCATGAGGTGAGACAGGTACAAAGTGGGACAAAACTCTAAGATCTGATGGAAAAATCACAAGGTGGGCATGAGGTGGAACAAAATTGTGACCAACCAATAAGATTATGGTATAGTTGCCCAGGTAATATTGATTAAATGGAGATCAAATGGGGAAGTGTACATGGATTTCCCAGAGGTATGGGCTAGCTAGGGATGTTTTGGTCCCCGATTAAGATGATTGATGTCTATTTAGAATATCAGTCATTGCTATTCATCCCTAGGTCAATGAAATGATTTTAAAAACTAGTCTGTTGTGCTAATAACAGTAAAGTAGGTACATTTCCAAGAAAAGTCACATTAAAGGGAAAGGTACTTTTTTTTTTTGTACTGGGAATCTAGCAAGCAAGGCACTCTACCACTGAGCTACATCCCCGGCATAGAAAGATACTTTTATTATTACTCAGTTAGCAAGAAAATTTGGTTAACTATAATTCCACATGCTACCCCAACCATCCTGTTTGTTTCAATAGGGCTCATCTATGCTGTCAACATGCCTTCCAAATGCAGTCGATGCATTCAGCTACAACAGTTGTAGAGTAAGGCCTCTCTGAGACCCATATTCCCTAGGTCCTGGTTCTGTCTCTGACAATATCTGTCCCCTCTGGGGCTCCTGCTGATGTTGCAGGTATCCTACAGAGAAACAGATCATTGGTAGGTCTGGAGAAAAAAAAAAAATCTTTTCTATCAGTACTGGGGATTGAACCCAGGGCCTGTGTGCTGAGCTACATCACCTTTTATTTTTTTAGACAGAATCTTAATAAATTGCCTAGGCTGTATTTGAATTTACCACCCTCCTGCCTCCCAGCACCCTAGTTTGGTTTTGAATTTAAAGTATTTATTTTCACATACTCATCATAATGACAAAAACTAAAAGAACTGACAATATCAACTGCAGACAAGGATGTAGAACATTGGATCTCTCATACACTGCTGGTGGGAATGTCAACTGGTGCTGTTTTGAAAAATTGTCTGGTACTTGCTGCTAAAGCTAAATATTCAAATCCTTTTAACTTTGCAAATCCAATTCTGTGTATACACAGGAGCCAAGGGGCAAAGTCCACAAGACATGTACTAGAATGCATGTCTTAATATCCTGAAGCAATCTGGTAAAGTCCACAATCTAAATGCCCATCAAGAGAAGAATGAATTGTGATGTTTTCACAAAGAATCTCACTTAGCAACACGAGTAAACTAACTATAATTACTCCAGTGATGTGGATAAATCTGACAAGAATGCTGGATAAAAGAAGATACACAAGTCTGAGGCAGGAGGATTGCCATGAGTTCGAGGCCAGCCTGGGATACATAGTGAGTTCAGGACCAGCCTGAGCTACAAGGTGAGACCATCTCAAAAAAACAAAAACAAAAAAACCCAAGCAAAACAAACAAACAAAAACAGATCTACAAACTGGGGATAATGGTACATGTCAGTAATCCTAGCTACCAAGGAGGCTGAGGCAGGAGGACAGAAAGTTTGTGGACAGCCTGAGCAGTTAGGAAGACCTCTCAAAATTTTAAAAAGGGACAACAGAGATGTCGTTCAGTGGTAGAATGTTTGCCTGACATATTAGAGAATTGGGTCCAATCCATCTTACTACAAAGGAACAAGAGAAATGTATTAAGTGCCATCTCAGGTTAGGAGAACAGCTATTTCAGGAGTGTAGGGTGTAGAAGACAGCATGAAGTGGAGGTTGTCACGCTCTGCTTCTTGATCTGGGTGCTGGTTACACAGGTGTGTTCAGCTTGTAACAACTGAGTGAACTATATACATGGTTCAATAAAAACATTCAAAAAATAAAAATATATTTGCATGTTGTCATTAGGCAACTTAAACTGTGAGTATAGCTTTTAATAATAATTTTTACCTGCAGGATAAATTTCTGTGTGGAATGCTGAAAACAATCAAAGTCACTGCAGTTCTATAAACATTATGCTTCCCTTGCAGTGTGAGGCAAAAATTATTGCTGAATACTGAAATAACGTCACAAACGAAAACTCAAAAGCTGCCTGAAACCTGTGGAAGGTATAATCTCTCCACTGCTCCCTGACACTCCACTCAGGTTTCACAACAAAGGATGCTTCAAGGCAATGTTATCATAGGTCTGAAATATTTTTCCCATTAAGGTAAGGGATGTTTTTGATAGGAAAAAAATATATTGTTTGCTCTGTATTTTCATCTTATCTTATAAAAATACTGGGATGTTCAGATTAATACTCAATACCTTGCAATCTTTCTGCTGTTTCCTGGTACATGATTCTCACTATCCCCTTTTTTTTTTTAGTCCTCATGAAGGAAAAGTAAGTTATCTAGATTTCTGTAAATCCCATTTTATCTTCAGCACTTCTGAGGAAAGCAGAGTTAGGGGAAAGGATTAAGATATTCAATAGTGCAAAAAGCATACCTCAGAGAGGGTGTTCCCCTCCTCCAGTGCTGGAGATCCAACCCGGGGCCTCACACATACTGAGCAAGTGCCCTACTACTGATCTACATCCCAGTTCTGTGTTTTTTTCAAATTTGCACACAGGGTCTAAATTGCCTAGGCTGGCCTTGGACTTGTGATCCTCCTACCTCAGCCTCCCAAGAAACTGGGGATATAGGCATAAGACACCATGCCTGGAACCAAGAGGGTTCTCAAGGCATTTTAAAGCTTAACCCTAGATTTGTATAATGCCCAAACTGGAAACCAATCAGGCAGACTCTTTCATTTATATATCCCCATTAAACTCAAACTGAAAAAATTTAAGCAAAGAAAACACATTCTTAGACTGCTTACTTTACTCAATAAAAACATTTATTAAGTTATTGAGGGGCTGGGGATTTAGTTCAGTGGTTCCACCACCTGGCTCATAAGTGCAAGTTCCTGAGTTTGACCCCTGGAACCAAAGTGGGGAAAGTTATTGAAAGGTTTCTCCAAAGCATGTACGTCAGTGATGAATTATCAGAATAGAAAATTTCAGTGACACCTTATGACCAAATGATGAAACTGCATTTGATGTATGTTGTTGGTCACTATAAACTAAATTACTGTTAAGAAACTTATGTGGTAAGTATCATGTGGAGGCTGGTCACTGAATTCTAGGCCTCAATTTCCCAATCTAAAAATGGGAAATAAGCACACAGAACAACATTCACCTTGAGGGCAGATATATTCTTAGGATAAAACACTCTATGAATAAAGTATCAAGCCAGAGGTGGTAGGGTACACCTATAATCAGTCCTAGCACTTTTGGAGGCTGAGGCAGGAGGACTGCAAGTTTGAGTTCAGCCTGGACTCCTTTACACAGTAAAGGAACAGAAGCGTTGCTTAGGATAGGAGCTTAATAAATTAACCAAATGTGCATTCATTCAACAAATATGCATACCTATTATGTGTTAGCAACTGTTGTAGGTAGGTGCTTGGGAATACAGGAAAGTCCCTTGCCCAGAGGAGCTCACATTCCAGGTAGGGAGGAAAAAGAGATGAACAAATATAATAAATGAAGATATCCCACAGTATATTCTAAGGCAATAAGGCAATACATATTATGGGAGAAAGGCAAAGTAGCCTAAGGCGGGGCTGAGAGATGAGTCTAAGAATTTTAGAGTGGTTTGAGCAGGGCTTCTTGGGAAGCAATATTCAGTCTTTTGTGTCCCTCACCGTGTCATCTTTTCCCTTCACTCACTGCTCAGCAAGACTCCTGTAGGTAGGACATCTCTGGATGACACCACACTCATCCTCCTTCAGTTTCCTAAGATTTCAACAGTTCTAACTTCTAGGAAAGTTGTGGTTACTCTTAAGTAAGGGTTTTTCTGAACTTTACTTCTTCCTCTCCCACAAAAGCATGTACTCATCAACAAAGGCTGCAAAAATTACAAGCAGGCTTTTGAGGGCAAATTATGGGCATATTATA